TTCCCTATTCCCTAATTACTAATGATGTTGAACACCTTTTAAGATGCTTCTTAGCTGTCTTTAATTCTTCTTTTGAGAACTCTCTGTTCAGCTCCTTAACCCATTTTTTAATTGCGTTACTTCCTTTCTTGAGTCTTTATTTTTTGAGTTCATAATATATTCTGGATGTTAAACCTCTGTCAGATGTGTTGCTGGTGAAGACTTTCTCCCATTCTGTGGGTTTTCTCTTCACTTCTTTGGTTGTTTCTTTTGATGTACGGAAGATTTTTAGTTTAATGAGGTCCCATTTGTTGATTCTTGACCTTGCTTCCTGAGCAATTGACTGACAGACAATTTTCTAAAATTTTGTGTGTTTATTTTTATGTGTATAAGTGTTTACCTTCATGTATGTAAGCTGCATGTGTGCAATGCTTATGGAGGACAGAAGAGGGCATTGGATCCCCTGGACCTGGAGTTGCAAATGGTTGTTAGCTGCCTTGTAGGTGTTGGAAACTGAACCTGGGTCCTCTGCAAGAGCAGCCAATGCTCTTAATTGCTGAGCCATCTCTCCAGGTCCAGATAGATAAAAATTTTTAAATATGGAATGGTTCGTGAGTTTGCATGTCACCTTGCTCAGGGGCCCTACTCATCTGCTCTGAACTGTTTCAACTTTCGTATATATACTGTGAACCAAGCTCTGTGTGTCAGTTTTATGGAGGGAAGGGAAGGAGGAAAGGGAAGGCCAGTTCAAGCAATACCTATGGCTTCATGGAGTAAGGGTCTCTATCTCCAGGTAGAACTGGAAGGAGCCTCCAGGACGACAGTACATCCCTCACTGCACAAAGAAGCTGAACCACAGGAAAGAGAATGGATCCTGCCTAAGATTGTTAAGGTTCAGATAGACCTGCTCCCTCACCAACAGGGTCTCAAGGACTTCTCATGCTCCTGAGAAAAGGGAACCGAGCTGATAAGCACCTTGGTCTTTGAAGTGAAGGGAAGCAGACTTTTCTCCACTGTTTGGCCAACACAGCAGGCTTCCCCTTTGATCTCTAAAGAGAACAGGTTTTAACAGTCCCGCTCTCCCACTCCCCCCTCAACTTTAAAAAAAAATACATCTTCCCTCCTTCTGCAGGAAGCAGAAGCTTCCCTTTTAAAAGACCCCAGCTCACGACCCCAGACAGACATTTTCCCTGCCCGGAAAGGACTCTGTCCCATGTGTTACTTTTCTAATAAACTCTGCTTTCTCATGATCAACCCTATTCGTCATACGGCTACTTTTTATCTAACAGAGATCACACACCAGCGAGGCACAGCCACAGCTGAGGACCCAGAAAGCATTTCCTGTGTTCAGGTGAAGTCTCTGTATTCAAAGTCTGCCATTCAGGGGCTGGGGAGACATCTCAGTTTTGTTGGGTTTTTAAAAATATTTTATTTATTATTTTTATTTTATGTGTACAAGTGTATTGCCTGCATGTATATAAGTGCACCTGTGTTATGCAATGCCCTCAGAGGTCAGAAGAGGGCGTTGGATTCCCCTGGAACTGGAGTTACAGATGGTCTCAACCTCCATGTGGGTGCTGGAATTGAACCTGGGTCCTCTGCAAGAGCAACTAGTGCTCTTAACCACTGAGGCATCTCTCCAGCCCCAGGGATGTCTCAGTTTTTAAAGCACTTTCCATGCAAGCATAAGAACAGAGGTTCAAATCCCCAGTCACATAAATGCCTGGTAGGCATGGCAGCTGGCCTGTAATTCTAGCTTAGGAAGACTGAAATGGGATCCCCAGAGCAAGCTGGCTGGTGAGACTAGCCATATCAGTGAGTTCTGGGTTTGATTTAGAGACCCTGCCTCAGTGAATAAGGTGGAAGAGCAATGGAGGAAGATTCCTGATATTAACCTAGGGCCTCCACATGCATGCAAATACACATGCACATGTACACACAAAAAACAAAACAAAAACATACCTCTGCCATTTATCGGGGAGATGGGTGAGAGAGTTCCTTCTGCTGTGGAACAGAGGAGTCACCAGCCCAAACTACTGTGAAGTAGAACTCAATGGGCTTTTTTGGAATATATCCCCAGGATCTTTACAATCCATCTCTTACCTTCGAGGCTCTCCCCTTGTGTCACCTTTGAGACTGACTTACCAAGGTACACACCCACAGTTCTCATGCCATGCCCCCTATGTCAGACTGTGAGCTTCCAAAAGCTAGCACCGAGCACTTAGTAGGCACTCAAAGCATGTTGAATGAGTGAATAAGAGGATGGATGCACTCATGTTGGATGGATAGGTGCATAAACCAATGCTTCTTCCAGAAGAAGACCTCAGTTTAGTGTTGTAGGAAGTTCCCAGCACCTGGAAATAAAAGATGAACCTGATCTCTCTGCTCACTAGCAGTGTGACATTATACAAGTCACATGGCCTGTGCTTGGCCCCCTGTGCCTGTTCTTATAATAAATATTTAGCTCATATCACCTCTTTTAAAACTCAAAAAAGCCAGCAAAGCAGGCACTGCTGTTCCCATTCATAGATGAACCAACAAAGGTGCACCAAAGTTAAGAACGACTGATGGAGCTGGGACTCTAGCTCAGTTGGCACAGTGCTTACCTAGTATGCACAAATCCCTGAGTTTAATTCTCAGCACCATATAAAACTTGATGTAAGAGAGTACACAATGATAATCCCAGCACTTGGAAGGTGGGACCAGAATGAGGGAAAATTCAAGGTCATCTTCTGCTACATAGTGAGTTTGGAGCCATCCTGGGTTATATGATGTCCTGTCTCAAAAAAATAAAAGAAAATTAAATAAATAAATTTTTAGATTTTTTAAAAATTTATGTCTGTGTACCTGCATTTATATATTTATACCACATGCCTTCAGAATCCCTTGGAGGCCAGAAGAGGGCATCAGATCTCCCAAAACTAGAGTTACAGGCAGTTATGAGCCCCCTGCATAGGTGCTGGGGACAGAACCTAGGTCCTCTGCAAGAGCAGCAATTGCTCTTGGCTGCTGAGCTGTCTCTCTAGGCCCATAAATACCTTCTTAAAATGAATCAGTGGTATAAAGCCTGAAGTTCAAATGCAGTGTTATATGTTCCTTTTTTAAAAGTATTTGTTTAATAACCATATAATTAGAGGAAGCATTTCATTACAGCATTAACATATTCAGTCTTTTTGAGACTGGAACTCGCTATGTAGACCAGGCTGACCTCAAACTCACAGAGATCTACTTGCCTCTGCCTCCCAAGTGCTGGGATTAAAGGCTTGCACTACCACACCTGACTTATGTGTTGCTTTGACATGGATGAATTCAAGAAGTTGCCAAAAGGCCTCACTACAAGTTGACTCCCATTCTGCTCCAAGAACAGGGTTCCCTGTGTATATCAGGCAGGCCGGGTGAAATTCCTGCTTATCCTGGAGTAGGAATTCTCAGTTCTCTGCCAGCCACAGAAGTAGTCAAACAAGCCCACCCCATCCTTCTTTGGGAACCTGGAGGCACCTCACCCCCTTGATGCTACAAAGCCCACCTCCCACAGCTCCTGCCATTCACCTTATTCCAAGTGCCATCCGTATAACCTTGAATGGTGTAAGCTTCTTCCTTTAGCCTGTGAGCATGGGACCTGACCTCATCCATCCAACAGGGGTTTGCCACAGTTAACTCTTCCAACACAGTGAGGGTAGTAACTGCCTCTTTCCAGTGGGGTAAAGAGGGGCTGATCAAAACAGAAAGTTACCTAAGATCACACAGCAAGTAAGCCTCAAGCCGCAAGCCTCAAGCCTCAAGCATCATTGAACTCAAACATCCAATAACAGAGCCTGCCGTCTTTCTTTTATGACAACTTGTTCGTTGTAAGCATTCAATAATCACCATCCCACTGGTCTTTTAAGCACCATAAGGTCAAAGGCAGAGCCTTTCTAGAGTCTAGGCTCTGTTCGAGGACCGTCATCTCTGGGCTTCTTGTTTCATGAAGGATGATGCATTTGTTACTGAAATCCATTTAGGCTGTTTTCTGGTGCTTGCAGACAAAGCAGCACAATGGATTCAGTGCTTGGCGTCTTTCCTCATCTTCTGTAGCAATCAATTGTTCTCAAACAATTTTCCTCTCCATCTCTCTCATCAAAATTGAGTGTGCCTTAAAAAAGACTTGTAGGCTTGTGTCTTTCTCTTTATCCTCCTCCTCCTCCTCCTCTTCCTCCTCCTCCTCCTCCTCCTCCTCTTCCTTTTTCTTTTTATTCTTTGTTTTGAGACAGGGTCTCACTAAGTAGCCCTGGCTGGCCTAGAACTCGCTATCTATGTAGACCAGGCTGTCCTGGAACTCTCAGAGACATGCCTGCCTCTGCATCCTGAGTGCTACAATTAGAGGCATGTGCTACCACACCTGGCCTGTCTTACTTAAAGAGCTTTATGAAACAAAAAAGGATGCCTGTTCTGCTGAGGCCAGCTCCTGAGATGAGACACAGTACATACTCATAAATATTTGTTGAGTAAATGAACAAATATTCTACTCCTTGGATTATCATTTAGATATGACTAGATAAAAATCACTATCCCAGAAGTGGTTAGATTGAAATTAGAAATTCTAGAAGAATCTTGCTGAGCTTTATGAGTCATCATGAGGAAAGAACATTGCCATATTTTGGATTGCATTTCCAATTTTGGCAGCTTGAGTGATTGAGGCAAATTCTTCCTTTGAGAATTTGAAAAACTGGGCAAGATATTTTCAAAAATATCATCTTGAAAGTATGGGAAAAGAACTAAAAAAAAAAAAAAAAGTACTGGACTGAGATTTGAAAGAGGAAGTAAATGGGAAAAGCCACACCTGCTTTGGCCCCAGAGTCATTTACAAACTCATGAGAGGTGGCTGAGAGACTAGGAAATGTCACAGTCTCTATGAATAGGGAAAAAGTCACAGTTTGGGGTTTGCCAAAGTGGGAGTCGTGATAAAGCCCTGTATTCTCAAACCTTTAAGGGCTGTCTTCAAGGATGCTAGATAGCTGTTGCTAAACCAGTTCTTACATAGTCTCCACCTTGATTCTAGACATCTGGGTACCTAAGAGACTTCCTGTCTCTGTAACGTCACTAACCATGGCACAGTGATCCCAACAACCTAGTAACAGATTCTCTCAGAAGAATGAATCTCAAGTTACCAATGAATTTTCACAAAAAATTTTCAGTTATAGTGACTTGTGGCAAAAGATCACTAGTCACAAGAGGGGACAACATATGTGACCATCAGAAGAAACAAAACAGTAGAAAAAGGCCACAAGATTCCAGTTCAATTGATCTAGATTTTAAAATGTTTGTTATGATGGAAGAGATTAAGAATTAAAATTTTAATGGGGCTGGAGAGATGGCTCAGCGCTTAAGAGCACTGGCTGCTCTTGCAGAGGACCTGGGTTTGATTCCCAGCACCCACATGGCACCTAAGAACCGTCCTTAACTTCAGTTCCAGGGGACTCTGACGCCCTCTTCTGACCTTTGCGGCACTGCACAACATGAGTGCACTTACACACATGCAGGAATACACTCATACCCACAAAATAAAAATAAAATATTTTTTAAAAGAATTAAATTTTAAAAGAGAACTATGAAGAACCAAGTAGAAATTCTCAAACTTAAAAAAAAAAA